AAAAATCAGTGTTACTTCGTTTTATGACAGCGAGAAGTTATGTAGAATCAAAGTTAGTAGTTTATGTTCGTTTGAAAGGGCGTGTGCTTGGATTTGAAAAGAAGGCAACTCTTTACTGTAAGAGTGTGGGTGGGTAAAGGGAGGGCAGAGTAATCTGGCACTAATAGTCACAGTAGAGTGCTGATAGAATGGTGGCTCCATGTTGTGCTGAAGGTGGGTCTGTGAAGACTTGCGATGTAATGAGCGGATTGGGCGAGTGTTGCGTCTAGATGAGGAACATATCGTCAGTGACCTTCCGGTCAGAGGGTAGCCAGACGTGAGTGGTCAGCACAAAGGAGTAGGGCAGACATGGTGTAGATAGGCGGCGATCGAAGAAACTTGGTAGCGATGGCTGAAGTGGAAGGGGAGAGATGTAGGATATGCAGATAGGATTGGAGTACTGGATCTAAGTGAAGATTATGAGTGAGTTATATGGCAGAGGGGAAAGTGAGAGGTAGAGGAAAAGCAAAAGAAGAGAGGAAAGCAAAAGTCAGAAGAGAGGAGGGTGAAACAGGAAGATGAAGTACCTTTTTTTCTGTGAATTTTCACTGGGTTCCTTTCAATATATAATTATCTCCCAAACTCTTGTAGGCCATTTAGCGTAAATGTTCTTAAGGGCTATACAGATTATGTGCAATGGCAAGAGCCACTAGTGATATGAACACTGTATTCTAATGCCGATGTTAATATGGGTTTAGAGTTGTAATAGTATTCTGCCATAGGGTTTGAGTATTGAAATTTTGGTTGAAGATACGTTTTGAGTCGTCCCAGGCTGCTTTTATTATACCGGAAGGATTGTGTTTTTTTATTGTTTACGTATGTTTATGGTCGAAAGCCTTATTAAGTTCAGGCATAAGGTTTTAATGTGTGTGTAGCCTTGTTCCCAAACAAGATCTGGGCATCCCTTACCTACTGGTGTGGTATCAACGTGAAGAAATCCCTGGCGTAGAACTGTTTATTTAGTCAATAATTTATGAAATAATAGATAGGTAAGTTTTCTAATGGGAGGAAACAAAGCAGTAGTATAGTCTAGGGATTTGATGAATGAATAGCTTGAAAGCCATGAATCAACAATCAATGAATGGCCCGCAAATGATTTTGAAAGTAAGGGTGATTCCTACGAGACAGCAGGAACCTCACACCATCATCTCATAGGAAGATGATTGGGATTAATGATATGTTTTGTACTTCACAAGAACAATGTCAGACTTTTTCTTGATCAAGAAATCACGTAATATGTACCATATTAAAAAAAGAAAAGAAAAATCACTTATACAATTGTAAGCATTCTAAGTCAAGGAGTTTAAGTTGACGGCTACATTTTTTGTGCATTTTGGTGCTCACAAAGTTAAGGCTATGCTAGGCACTCCTTGAGCTCCAGGAGGGATTCCTGGGGAAGGGAGAGACCTATGGTTTCGGGAATCAAGTGGACCAAGTTTCGCGATGCTCCGTGTCTTATCAAGAGATACCTGTTGGAGGAGGCTTTCCTCGCTGTTGTGTCACTCAATGATAGTGTTGTCAAAACGACAAGGAACCGAGCATCTCTTTTGTCTTTATACTGTGTGAGTTAGTGATATGAATTTACACCGATTTGCCGACTCATTGGATAAGAGCCTGCCGCTTACCCTGTACTACTCTGGGCTGATGATCTCTATTTCCAGATCCCAAAGTTACCCATTCGCGCCGAGTAAAAATAAAGAACAGAAAATGCTGTGCTAATTTTTTATATCTTTTTGTGAATGTCTCTACACTAGATGCTCTGCCTTACCTTATTCACCTTACTGAATTGGCCGGAAAATGTATTTTTACTCGTGCTATGAATATCGATGGTTCTTTTTTATTATAGACATTATAATTACTATAATGATTAACAGTAACAGCAAAATAGATAACGTAAAATATTTTCAATACATTAAAGAAAAGGATAAACGGCAAGACAGGCAGTACAATACAAGTGGTCCATCTGATGTGTAAAACAATTAAACAGTAAACACTACAGTTAGCGCTAATGGGTTTAAGGATGCATGGAGCTGTGTCAGCCGAACTAAGAACGTGGAGAGCATTCAGTCAATCGAAGAGCCGAGAGGTCTCCTTGTCAACCGTCACATTCTCGGCACTGAGTCCGCAAGAAGCACCTGCTAGAGAAGAGCTAGGCTGTGGGGACCGAGCATGACCGAACCAGGGAATTCTGTGGCCGAGTTGTGCAGGAATGGCAGGTGGCTGCTACAGTATATAAGGTTGTTTGGTGGAAGGGTGTTATTTTGTGGAAGTGAGGTGGAGGGTCTTGGTGTTTCTTGACGAAATTTGTTGGGTCATTTTGTAGTGGGTCTGAATCAAGGGTGTCAGTTGGGAGACAGGGGTAGTTTGAATCCAGGTATGATCCTTTGTGTGTATATGGGATGTTTGTGTTGTGACAATATGTCTACATGGTGTGTGAAAGAGTTTGCATATGTTTGTAATTCCAATTTTGTCAATGGTGAATGTTATGTATCGCTTTTCTGCTGGGCCTTTCATGATGTTTGTGATTGTGAGGAGTATGAGTTCTCTGTGTTGATATTATAATACATAGGAAGAATTTGTTGTATGATTTTGGTAGTAAATAGAATTTAGAGGGTTGGTGATGTAACATTTCCATAAGGGTACTCCATTTCTCGGCACTCAGGTGGTGTATACTCCTCTGTACCAAGAATTGCAGAAGAGGCATCATGGGTCTGTTGGGAGTTGTCCATTTTGTTAATTTGTATTTTCATGTTGTCATGCTAAAACCTTTCTGATCTTTTGTTGAATATTATATAATGTTTTGTTATCGAGACGAGAGCGATCTCATAACCAAGGGCGATAGCACGATCAGTTCCCTGTGTGGACGGAAACCATAGCTTAGTGTTGTCATGGTTTTTTTTTATAAGTAATGTAATAATGGTGAAAGTTACTAGACCGTGCAAGTATTATCTTTGGGACACCTAGCTTATGAGCTTGAGCAGATATTTCTCCACCCTCATGCGCTGATTCCTTGGCTTTGGAATAAGAGTGATTGTGGCATATTTGACTTTGCTAGGGAATATCCTGAGGATCATTCGGTGTTCCGTGAGGCATTTAGATGTATTTAGAAGGCGATTGCCAAAGTTAGGTAACTGTACTTTCTCTAATTTTAGTGTTCTTTTTTCTCCACATCCTAAAGCTAACTAGAGCACAAGGAACCATGCTCGCTGATTGACTGTAAGTGGTAGATATTGCAACTTTCATTTCTGGTTTTAGTACGTGTTAACCTAGACTACATTATAGAACTAAAACGGCAATATAACATTTTCTATCATGGACCTCGGCGAATAAGCAATTAGCAGCTTTA